TTTTTTTTTTTATTAGTATTGTTTGTCAACGGTGCACTTTAAACAGACATTTCACAGGTGTTTGTGTTGATATGGTGTTTGATTAAAACAGAACTTTGTATCTATCTAATCTTCTACCTTACCTACCTACAGTATATGAGTTCTGTCGTTCACAGGACTGGATTTGAAACTTTTATGTTCAAGTTACACATTCAAATACAGTCTATACAGTATTTTTGACATTTACATCGTTTTTTTTTTTTATCTGTTCTCATTTCTATCTTTGATTCTGTTGTCTCAGCGCTATTTCAATGTGTTATGCATAATGAAGTTAATTTTCAGTAACATCTTGAACTATTTGTATTCCATACATCTTCAAATATCTGACATCTGTTAAACGTTTTCTTGGTTAAACTGCCATGCAATAACAAACTGTTGATTTTTGTCTTGTAGGAAGAGATGAGAGTTTCGCAAAGTTTAAAAGTCTCTTTCTGGAACCTCTTGTTTCCTTGTTGCATATTTTCAGGTTAATATTAGTGACGTGAAACACTTTGTTCCTGAGTAATGCGGTCTGCCTGTTTGAAAGGCAGAGTATTACAATGTGATTCCATCACTCCTGGACTAACACCTTGTCCATAAACGCTCTGACATGCTTTAATCTGCAGTACATTGGCACAGTCTGTCTCTCCGGTGCCAGGTTAATCCCCCCATCAGCCAGCTGTTAGGACTGCCAAGATAAATCGTTTGGCTGTCGCCAGCTGTGGTGAGGTCGTCTGTGAGTGGTAATCTATGACCAGCCTGGTTAACCTGCTACAAAACCTACATCTGCAGCATGTAGAATGTTGCCGATTCTGGTTTGCCTAACCCTCTTCTTTTATTTTTAATGTTATGATTTTTTTCTTCATAAAAAAACAACTGATGTGGAATCATGCTAATAAAAGATCAGAGAAAAATCTACCAGTTCCCTATCCCAGAGTACAAAATGATTTTGAAAGCTAGTTTTAAGCACTAAAATACAAACCTGACCTTCGAAGGGCTGCGTCTACCAACATTTCTGTCAAAATGAAGCTTGATAGTCGTGTAATATAGAGTGAATATATAACAGTTTTTAGAGTTTGGGGTCAGTCTGTTTTTTTGTTTTTGAAGAAGAAGAAATTAATATTTTATTTAGGATTCAATAAAATGATCAAAAGTGACAGTAAAGACATTTAAAAAATACATTTTAAACATTGATAAAAAATAATAATAATATATGTTTCCTGAGCACCAAATCAGTATATTAGAAAGATTGTCTGAAGGATATTGCGACAATGAAGACTGAAGTAATGACTGCTGAAAATTGTACTTTATTATCACATGAACAAATTGCATTTTAAAATCTATAGAAAACAGTTGAAATTGTAATATTTTATTAATACTGTTTTTACTGTATTTTTGAACAAATAAATGCAGCCTTGGTACGCATAAGACCCTTCGTTCAAAAACCTTACCAACTCCAACCTTTTGAACGGTAAGCTGAATCTATTATCTGTGTATATTCTCTCTTAAATGAATACAGGATGATGTTGTAGCATTTGGATTTTGATTTTAAAATGACACTGACAAATTGTGTCCCACTTTACTTCTGTTCACCGTATATATGGACTGAATGAGCTGCCTTAAATGTATGTTGAAGGATATTTTGAAGGTGATTTAGAGTGCTACTTGGTTCGCTGCCATATTGAAGTATACCTGCAGGTACTGACAACTCATCTGTCATGGTTTAAAAGCCATAGACAGCTTGTCTTATACTGGCTTGTAGCATCTATCATTCAAAGAGAATGCCTGTTAGCTTTCAAGTGTCTGAGCTGTTGAATGCAGGGATATAAACATTCAGGTTCATCCCCAGAAGCGCACGGAATAGATGAAATATATTGGACATCTTCACTGATTCTCATATTTGTTCATTTTCTGTGGTGTGGCAATGACTAGAAGCTGTATCCTCTTAGAATGTAATGTTTGACTTTTTTTTCTTTCAGTTTACCATTGGACAAATGTTTATATATGCATAAGAATGTAAGTCTTTAGCTCAAATAAGGCCAAGTGGTTAGCTGCATCTTTCATGGTTATCGAAAAACAGGTCTCTCTTTTCTACTTTAGATATTTTATAATGTTTATTCCACCTTTAAGTACTGAAGTTGCTGCCACTTTTTCGTCTAAAGCAGTTGATGTGCCAACTAAAACCATTGTGAAGTCATGCAAGGCCAAAAGTTTACAATCTATCAGGAACAAGAGTTTATTCTGTCAGATGAGCATCTGTCCTATGAGTTCACAGACATATCTGATATTCTTTTCTTTTTTTGCGGACTTTTGAGTCTGTCA